AGAGTAGGTATGTTTTTAAAAGTGCAGAAGAGACAATTTTTTAAATTTTTTTGATAAAACCATGACTGAAAGTAGAAATAACCTTATATCCCTGAATTCGTCTTTAGTAGGGCTACCATTTATATTATAAAATATAGAGATTTTTACATCTACGCAAAAGTCTGGATAATAATTGACCTGTCCTTTTTTCTACAGCTGCGACATGTTGTATTTAGAAACTAGGCGAGGCAATGAAGCACAAAAGTTCGGAATTTTTTCCATAAAAACGGATCGGAATGCGGTTTTTTGCATTCTCTTCCAAAAATTTTTTGTAAAAAATGTGGCTACTTTGTGTTTCTGACAAACCGGAAATTGCATTGCTGCAGCTAAAAATGCATTAAAAGAATGCATTTTATGAGACGCCTTTTGGAAGATTTCAAGACTTTGTAAATAAGAGTCAGAACTGGCCCAAATCGGGTACTCGGGGGTTTTCGAGGTCGCTGATCACGATTATGATGTTCAAATTGACCCCCCGAAGACTTGGAGCTCAGGAACGCCGATGAACTTCATCTCCGTGGGACTCTTCCACAAATCACGCGGGGAAGGAGAGAAACTCGGCGGCCGGGGGTTTTTTGGGTCGCTGAATTCAAATATGCCATCGTCGTACACCCCCGGACACCTGGTGCGGCCGAACCTGGACGTGGACGTCATCTCCGAGAATTTTCCTAACAAGATTGATAAAAACAACCCGAAAATCATTGTGGGGGCGTTTTTTGGGGCGCTTAATTCAAATTTCACATTCGAGAGTGATGAAAACGATGACGATGCTTTCGTAGACTGAAACCCTTGCCTATACTTACCTCTATCGGATATTTTTTAGTAATAATAAATTATATTAATTGACACATGTCGAGCCCCAGGGATTAAATCTATCTCCACTTTCAAAATTGCATATTATTTTTATTAAACCATACAATTCCTTAATGTTATTTATAATGTACACTAGATAAGAAACATTCATCATTCGCACTTTAAAAAAATGTGAGTGCCTAAATACTTTACCTTCTTCAATAACATTAACTTGTCCCTGCGGCGATAATCTGATAAGAATGTATACGTCAATATTAGAGTAGGTACGTACTTTGTGAAAAAATACAAATTGTTTAGTAGTACTCCACAGTTTGAAAGTAGAATAAATCAATAAGTATAGAAGGTATGTCTAACTACTAGTTTTTTGTTGCATTTTGATGTTATTAAATGTACCTTCATATTTTCAAAATCCTTAATTTAAGCACTTTTACTGAAATATGTGTCATGTATTTTAGATAGAAAAAAAATAGCATTTAGAAACGTCATTTCCTTTTTATTATGACCTATTAAAACGACTTATAACTGGTGACTTAGGTATGATAAATTTAGAAGTCAATAACAATGGCAGTGAAGTTAACTTCCCTTATATAATATAGCTGTTTAGTAAATTTAATGGCGCAAAAGCAAAAATGTGTACCGATTCCGTGGCAATCTTGACTTTATCCGTTGTGGATGGCCAGTAAACAAGCCAACATATTGTGCAAAACGTCAAAGCAAATATATGACCTATACATCACTGTAATTAGAAAAAGGAGAGGATTTCATAAAAGCGGCAAATATACAACGTGTTCCATAAAAAAAAACAAATGTTTGGTTTATGGGCAATTGTTCTTTTTTACATATTTCTTTGAAACTAAAAGAAAATTTCCTAAAACATTGGTCTTACCTTTTTTTTAGATAGAATGGTAAACCGGGAGTAGAATGTTATGCAAATAAAGGTAAATTTTAGTTATGAATGTCGCATCACATTTTGTTTTTTTTTTTTTCATACTCACAGAATGCGAGAGCGCTNGAAAAAAGTTTGTAATGGAAATTATTCCTTGAAAACCCCTCTATCAAAATGCTCTGATGTAATTTTTTTTGTAAAATGACCAGAAAAAAGTTATAACGACCAAAAGAAAATTTCTTCCCAAATTTTTATATATTTTCGTTAATAACTTTGTTATTTTTGGTTCTACGACTAAAAGTTACGGCACCAAATTTGTAGAGAAATTAATTTGCAACAAGAAATGTGGTTACAAATATTTTGTGCGAGGAATAGTTTGCCCGATATAGTAAGTAGTTGTATAAAAACCATTCGCAGCCCTTTTTACAAGATGGCGGCCGACGCTCAAGGGTTGCGACCCCACAAACATGGATTTAACTTTACACTAACCCCCTCTTGACATACAAAAAATAAAATTGCGTGCTCTGACTTTTGCACGCTAAGCCTAAAAAAATGTAACATTTCAATGGACTACTAACTTTTAAAACATTAACATACTGTACTGTCTGGAATAAAGGTTTCGGAGATAGAATCGCATTGCTTGGTGGAATTCTAGTATTGAATACCTGAAATCGTAGCATCTGACATTTATGAAAAATATATGAATGTAAGTTACAAACTTTTGAATCTATTTTCCAATAAGCACAATATAACAATTACTACGCTTCGAATATTGGATCTCCTGTCTATAGTTTCTGAAGTAGTTAAATAGATAGATTTTTTTTAAGAATATAATTATACAGTTCTTTTTTCATATGTACATATCTACATTTAGTACTTACGATTTCAATTGTCAGTGCCTTAGATATATGAGATCAGTCTCTTTCGTAATATTTATGCATATGTGAAAAATACTGCATTGCCAAATATTCGTGTTTTATAGATTTTGAAGTAAATTGAATGATAACATAGCATAGCATAGAAAAGCAAAAATAATATCAAATTTGTAACGCGACTAAATAAAAAATTACAGAAAACTTTGTACCTATTGACAGAGAGCGACATACTAATCTGTAGATACGTTACAATATCATTAGTTAAAAAATCGTTATAGTATGTTAACAGAATGATAGCAGGTATACATAAAGGTTATATCTAAAACTCATCAAAATCAATTTCCACTTATTCAAAAATGTCTATTGCAAAAAATATTATTTCAACAGATCCTCTCGGTCAGTAACAACAACGGATTCTGTCAGTTTGTCAACTGGGGCAACAAAAAGTAATAAATATGAGTCACAAAGTATTTCTAAATAACTTCAGGTTCAACCGTAGACCTGCTTATATGACTTTATATTAAGGCAGAGTCACACTGCTTTCACATTATGTGGTATCATGTGAGGCCAAGTTATGAAAGATATGAGCTAGTTCGGAAACCATTCTCGTATTCCAGGTTCCGACAACATATAAAATTTTCAATAAACTTTCCAATTGGAACCACGATGCCAAAAGACAGTGATGTAGACACCAAAGTAGCCATCTTCGAAGTGTCCCAAAGGTACACCAGAGTGGAAGAAGCGGTGAAAATGATGGTTCTCCAAACACTAAAGATAATCCATGAAAGGAAAATAGAAATGGTGAAAGTCAATACTACTATGATCTGAGCTCAGAAGGATCATAGATGATGGTTTTGAGTTTAAGGAAATGCAAGTACCGAACCGATTTCTGGCAACTCTTTTTGGATACATAGCATAAGCAATCAAGCTACAGAAGTACACACATATACAGGGTGTTTCATAATATGTCTTTAATCAGGGGGATGAATCTGAGTATGATTTTAAGTAAAGAAAAATTCATATATGTAAACATGTGGCCATAAAAGTAGTTTCAATAATTTTTCAGTTTTTTTTTTTTGTATCTGCCACAATTTTTGAGATATGTAGCTCAAATTTAGAACGTAGGCTAACTTAGATTACCTGCTTCATTGGCCCTTCCTCATAGTTATCACGATCTACGGGGTAATACTTTTTCTGGGGTCGAGCCTCCTTTCAGCCTCGCAAACTTTCTTCCGGTACATCACTGGTCTTTACTTTATAGAACAAAGGTTTAATTCCCTGTTCAATTTAAAAACTTTTTTGTCTCCTGTAATGTTTTCGTATCTACTGTCGTTTTCGAGCAAAAAAATTAAAAAGGTTTCCTGTAACTCGCTAAATTAAAAGCCGGAATTTGGAAATCCTTCACTGTGGGAGATACAAAGAAAACACAGAAAAAATATTGAAATTTTAACACTCTGTACCATGGTAACGAAGCATTTAAGGACATATGTTTATATGAACTTTTTTACTTAAAATCATGCACAGATTCATCTTCCTTAATAAAGACATTATGAAACATCCTATATATTTTATTAGATAACAATCTTTTTACAACACTTTTAACTTAAATGATTCAACTTTTCCAACGACTAAATCAATAATCCTACTGATCACATTAACAATAGTATAATGTCCATAAAGTCCTTATAGTTTTGTATATACATATGTATTTAAATGTGTTGGAATACTCAGACAGTTGTTTTACCGTATTCCCTGACTTCGACTTTAAAAAACATACTTGCTTTGACAATTGCTGCATATTTCAATGTCTCCACAATCATTGATAAGTCCTTTCCCTTGTCTCGGTGGACCAGCATTTTAGGTCGGTACAATACATACCTGAAGATATATTGATGTCACGAAACGATAGTGATGCATTGGCAAACCTTACCATTCAACCTTTTGGACAATAATTTTGAATTATGCATCCACTTAAATCTTTAGTCCAATACAGAACTGTGGCAGGAATTTATGAAATTACAAAAGAAATTTATGGAATGTCTGTTTAGCAAAGATTAATTATTATTGCTTTTTTTAGAGAAATAGGGATTCCAGTATTAAAATTCGATATTGAATATCGACCTTGAATATTGGACAACTACGCGCGCCTCTGTTTTTATTTTCATAACGATTGTTTTCATTTTTTAGTAGAAGAGTTAAAGTATCAAAGTATATAGAACAAAACATGTATTGTTTATATTTTTTAAGAGTGCAAATCCTTATATTTAAAATATTATTTACGTAGATAAAGAACATTTACCGATCGTACTTAAAGAATATTATTATTACATTACTCACAGTATCAACAATTTGTTTCTATGACGATAACCAGATAAAAACGTTCTAGTACCTTGTAATATAAGTGTAGTTTTTCCAGAAAAAATAAAAACGCTTGATTATTATCAAATAATCTACAAATACAAGTATATTAAAAATAAGATAAGGTATGTCCAAATTTATAAGATTTTTGAATTTGTCTTTTGGATGTTAAATGTGTACAGTTTTGATTAACAAATTTATGGAAATACTGAATAGAGAATATTATAGACAGTTAGCAATCAGAATCATTACTTTTCAATGACTACGAAATTTGTATTGTAGAATAGTGAGAGAATATGTCGAAATAAGTCTTAAGATGGTCAATATCAATACTAAACACTTTACCAAATACTGTTATCTTTAAAAGGCAACTTTCTAATATAACTTGCTTTTTTTATTAACGTTATGATGTAGTTCCAACATTTTAATAAAGTAAGCGGTTCCAAAAGTATATCTCTAAATTAAAATACAGCCACAGAGTTTTATTAATATTGTCATTTACGGTTATACAATTTTTTTTCAGATTAATTTCGCAGATGCGATCCTTTATCGTGACTGGATCCCTTTTACTGGGACTATTAACAGCTGTTCACCCATCTCTTGCTGCTACATGTACAATCAGTACATACAATGTGAACGATATTAAAGATGCAGAAAAAGACTGCAAAGAGATAACCTTGAATGGAATAAGCGTTCCGGCTGGCGAAACTTTAAATTTGAATTTGAATCAGGGCACCAAACTCACTTTCCAAGGTACGCTAACATGGGGATTTTACGAATGGGATGGTCCGTTACTTAACATCAGCGGGACAGATGTTGAAATCAGCGGCGCTATGGACCACGTGCTAGACGTAAGGGGAAACTTATGGTGGGATGGTAAAGGAGGCAATGGGGGTAAAATAAAACCGATATTTTTCGTAGCGCACGGACTGAGAAACTCAGTAATTCGTAATATAACTGTCAAAAATCCCTCCAACCATGCTATTTGGATAGAAAATAGCGACGGAGTAATAGCACGTGACATATATGTAGACAGCAGAGCTGGAGACACGTTAGGAGGTCACAATACAGACGGTATTAACGTTTGGACATCCAATAATGTTACCATTCTTCGTCTTACTGTTTACAATCAAGATGATTGTGTTGCCATCAAATCCGGTACTAACATTGTAATTAAGGACAGCTATTGTTCTGGTGGACATGGTCTGTCAATTGGATCTGTGGGTGGCAGAGATTATAATATTGTTGAAAATGTGCTGATAACAAATTCTCAGATTTTAAACTCGGACAATGGAGTTAGGATAAAAACAGTGTACGGAGCTACCGGGTCAGTTACAAATGTCACTTACGAAGATATAACTTTAAAAGAAATAAACAATTATGGTATTATCATTCATGGTGATTATGGTAGTCACGCCGGCGTTCCTACCGGCGGTGTTCCAATTAAAGAATTTACATTGAAAAATGTTACAGGCAATGTCAAAGAATCTGGTGTTAATATTTATGTGTTCGTAAAGAATGCCACCGACTGGAACTGGACGGAAGTTGAGGTTACCGGCGGAAAAAAAATTAAGGAATGTGATGGTATTCCAGAAGACAGTGGCATTACTTGTTATTAACTCAAAGCTCTTTGTCATATTTTAGCAGTTCTTGCATTTTGCAGTATAATAAAATTTAATTACTATTTATCTTAATATGCCAAAGTATTTTTGTAAATAAATCCCTTATATCAGAAAAAACCTAATAGACATAAACTTTTCAGATATAAGTAAAATTTTATAAGAGTATTTATTATATTATTAGATAAAATGTAGTTTATATATACAAAGTGTCCCAGAAATAAGTACCAAAATTTAACCAAAATATTTAATCGAAAGCGAAAACTTTTATATAATTGATTTTTCAAAAACCGTTAATTAAAATAATGCTAACAATCTTTCTGTAGATTAAAGAAGTGTCTTAGTAAGCGAATATTTCATTTAATTAATCGCTATCTAAAAATACTTTTTGCTAGACCGAATACTAAGCTTGGTAACATATTTGCATGTTTTATTTTGAGTTGTGGTTTTGGCGTATCGTATTTCAACTTTTGTGACCTAGGATATTTTTTTTATTTGCGACTTCTTGCAAAGTGGTGGATTTCAGTGGTATTCGCCATACTTTCTTATTATAACTAGACACTTTGTGGCTACGATCAAAAAAATTGAAAGTAATAATCTACAGGGTGTTTTTAAATGAAGTAGCAAAGATGGAACCAGTGAATGTAGAGCTAAAAATAAGAGGATTGAAGTAAAAATACCTTATATGAAAGTTGCACCCCTGAGGCGATATATCCTCTTAAAAGAGGGGATTGAAATTCACATTTTTTTTCTTTAATATGAGGAATGCTGAGACACGAAACAACTTGGTATGAGCCGACATTTTTTTAATAAGGGCTCTATATTTTATAGTATAAACAGATAGCCCTTCTAAAGACGAACTCAGCCATATAAGGTTATACCTACATTTTTGTTATATGTAGTTGTCAAAAAATGAATGAATTTAATGAAAACAATAATTTAGTACTTCTTTTTATTTTATTGCACCTTTGCACAATGCCCAGTTCGGTGCAAAGTTACCAATTACATTTTGAATAATATTTGGTGTTATGTTTCGAACTTCTCTGATACGATTTTTCAATCCTTCAATAGTGTCTTGTCTGTTCGCATACACTTTGCTTTTTAGATAATCCTACAAAAAACAATCTAGTGGGGATAAGTCAGGGGAGTGTGGTGGCCATTCAAGCGGCCCTCTTCTGTCCATCCATCGATCTGAGAAAACTTCATTAAGGTAATTTCTTACATCGAGGCGGAAATGTGGAGGGACACCATTTTGTTGTAACCAGACATCACCAGCAGGCATATGTGCTCATTAGGGTTAGAAAAAATTCATTCCTGGGCTAGAATCAGCTGAAAACGCAAAAAATTCAAATGAATGCCGCCTGTCAAATTGCCCTCAAAGAAATAAGGTTCCAGTATGCGATTTCCTACTATTCCAGCCCAAACATTCACTTTTTCCGGCCGTTGTGTATGTTTTTCTTGCATCCAGTGCGGATTTTCTGGGCTCCAAATCCTAGTATTTTCCCTGTTCACGGTTCTGTTTAAGCAAAAAGTTGCTGCGTTAGTGAAAATTATGTGATTTTTTAAGTTGGGTTGTGTTTCAAATAAATTCCTCCTAATTTCCTCGCAAAACTGTAATCTTTTGTCTGTATCATCTGCCCATAGTTTTTGTAAGACGTTAACTTTGTAATGATGCCACTTTTGAGACTACAGAGTTCTGTAAACTGAGGACTTCAACAAGTTGAAGTTGGCTGAGATAGATCTAATGGATGACTGGGGATTTTCAGTAACGACAAGCATCACATTTTGACAGTCAGTTTCGCTTACCGTTCTTCGCCTTCCTGATCCAGGTAAATCTTTTATACTTAAGGACGGGATTTTGTACAAAAAATATCGCCCAGCGTGAGTCACGAAACGGGACCCGGCAGGTGCTGTTCTAGCGGCCAACGCTTCAAGTCTAATAATTTAAACTGCAGCCACATTCGCCCGATTTTTCAGGAACGGCTCCAATTTGTGTGCATACAATCTTATAAGGAAAGAGAGTAAATATTTTATTAATCAGTAATAGATTATCGAGGACAATAATATTTTTTTATTGAGTAGGCAATAATTTTTAGTTAATAAGCTTAAACAATCTTATAATTACTATTCCTTCATTATAAAAACAGAAATACGGTTTTTAAAATTACATGTAGTTTCTTCTTCAAAAGTGACGTTAAAACACGTATAACATGGAATAGTCAACAGTCTAATGTTTATATTTTCACATTAACAATCCGATAATGTAAATTAACTGCTATTTTCAGTACAAAAATATATACCTAACCTGAAATATTTTTTTACTTTGACGAGTCGTTTTAACTTAAAAACACTGCTTAATTACTAAAATATATAGAATCTTGCTACTAATTGCGTTTGGAGAATAATATGTATAGGCATAAAATATATATATAATATTACTGTATGTATTTAGTCCATTGAAATGAAGGCTGAACCTCCATTTTTTCCTCTGTCGATCAAACCTGGGCGCAAATATGTTTTCGACCCTCAGGAATCCGAATCCGCAAA